TGACTTTTTTCATATAATTCTAAACCTTGCGTGAAAAACTATGTAACTGAAAGTGAAAATGTTGTAACGTAGTTTAGGACCCGATGGATAGAATGCACCATTGCTCTGCTGTTAAAAAAGTGTGTCCTCCTTACCATTGGTCCATGCACTTATTATTAAATGTATCTATTGATGCAGTGGTTTATACACACCCATAGTTTTTATCACTCATAATTATTGCACAAATTAGTAAGTGATAATTTCTATGATCAGAATATCAAAGAAATTAGTACATTTTGACTTGACTCAACACGCGTGGCGTGGCTTCGGGTGGCGTCGCGTTTCATAAGACTGATTCGGCCATATTGTAAATTATTTGGGGGTTGAAAGCGCAAATCTCAGAAAATACTCGTCCGATTCTAAAAACTGTTGTAAAAACGGGTAAAAATATTCCATTTGTAAGCTTTCGTTGCGTGCGCTGGGTAAAAGGTTCAAGTTACACAAAAATCATATATAACGGTATTGTTCCCCTTTAAAAGTTCTATAAAAAAAAGTCCGCGACAGCATATGTCCTTTTTTTAAGTTTGATTCACTATCAGGAGGCACGGCAGTGCTCCCGCCAAGTCGAGCGCGAAGCAAACACTGCCGTACCATCCTTTACTGGAACCATTTCGCCGCATTTGGGGCCTGACCCCTATTTGAGAACCTCTCGATAAGACCAGAACGCAGAAATTTTCGTCATCCAGTAAACTATGATACTTCAAATCCAAAATTTCAAGTCTTTAGGTCATTTAGTTCCGAAGTTAAGCAAAAGCAAAGTTTCGTATTTATGACACTCACTCACTCATGATCATCAGAATAGATCTAGTACTTCCCAAAAACTCAGAGAGCGGACTTAACTGCTTACAGAGTTAGGGTTTAATGGCCACATAAAGGGAATTTAATAAAAACTAGGATAATCGAAGATCTGGAGTACCTAGTGATTAGAAAACACAAGAGCCCAACCAAACTATTAGAGGAGATCGACATACCGCCTTTACAAAAATATTCAACTTGGTGGGCCGCTTCATTTGATGTCAAAAATCAAAGGTCTGAAGTATCTGATGATGAACCCTCAGCTGGTCTCAGCTGTATTAGAGATATGACAATGCCCCCTTCTACTATTGGTACACAAAAAAAATTGACTGTCATTGCAAAAATCCAGCGTAGAGCGTATCCAGGACACATCTTTTATTTAATCTAGCCTATAGCGTCCCACTACTGGGCGAATGCCTCCCCTTCTACTTTTAATACGCATATAAATAAAATTAAAGGAAAACCCTGGATAACACTATACTGGCTTTTATACTTATACTTACGAGTTTACAAGAAAAAATAGTCGAACGATTAACTTTATTCTACTCGAACATTACACAAATTAAATAAACAAATTACAGTGAAATATTAATTTCGCTCAAAATTTGATCAAAATATAATGCATTAGACTAAGAGTGGCGGTGATACTAAGGTCTAAGTCTAAAAAATTCCCTCATGGACATTGGCACCTCCATAATCTCTTGTGGTCAAGCTTACGTGGCGCTTTCACGAGTAACCAATCTTCATGGGGTGCACCTCATAAATGTTGACTTCAAGAGTATAAAAGCTCAAGCTTCAGCGATCACCGAATACAACCGGCTTAGGCGTAAATACCGCGCCGATCTTTCAGAAATTAAACCGTCTAAAAGAATAAATAAAGAACGCGAATGGGCAATACGAAAAACTGTTGCTACTGTCCAAGAATCAGAACCGGAAAAAAAGAAAAGAAAGATTTGTTATAATAAAAAGACTACTCCTAAAAAGAAAAAAGATGTGTCAAATAAGAAAATCTAATAAAATAAATTAATATGCCCACGTTTCTACAAAAGCCAAGTCTCGATGGAGCTGCTTGTTTATCTCTAAAAAGTAATGAAATCTAGACAAAGTCGTGCCAAGTCTAAGGTTGCTTACTGCGATTTCTTTATTATTATAGTTAATGTTGTGTGACTTGGCCGTTGAAGGGTACACAAGGGTACAAAACCAGGTGCTACGTGACACCATTGCACCGATGCATTCCTACATGCAACATTAATACGTGTAAACGCAACTTTATCAAGCCTACAATTGACTGGTTATTCAATCAACGTTTTCCAAGTGGCAATTTTCCATCGTCGATGGGTAGCAGTTCTGGCGACAGATTGGTGCAATGGTGTCACGTGCAATTTTGTCTAGTTTTATTTTAACAATTAACTTATTTATCTCATTCTCTCTCATCTAACAATAAACACGTGACTTTATATTTCATCAAATTTATTTGATGTCTCTGAGTACGCCGTTAAGTAAGTATATTAATAGGATACATGGCGTCCAAATGGACGTGACTATGATGATTGTTGCTAAAGTTAATTGTCCTGTAAATTGCTTTCGTTGTTATTTAAATCATGATTTCTGTTACATGGAAATTCCCATTTGAATAATTCATAAAGTAATCTTAACGTACAGAAACAACATTTTTTTATATTAAGATTACTACGATTAAGGTAGTCTAGTTACTGGTGGCGTATATAAAATGTTTAAACTAATAATCATAGTGACATAATTAATATTTGGATAAAATAGAACGTGGATCATGTTATACTTACAATTATGTGTTTAATACAAACACACATTTTTTTATTTTATTATTTATTTAATCTCTATTGCCTTTACAATGTTTGCATTTTCGACGGACTTAATGCCAGTATGGCATTCTCTACCAGTCAACCGGAAAGAAGGTGCAGAGAAAATGAAATGGCAGACTACGAACAGAGAAAACATTAAAAATCATTAATTACTTATACATACATATATAAATATACATTATATCAACATATATAATATATTTCATATTACACAACTATTATAAATTATTATTAACATATTTCATACTATTTAAAAAAGTTTAGAGTACGCAATGTGAAGCTTATATTTTATTGGAGTTTTCGTAGATCATTTGCATTTTTTCTCCTCTCTATTCGTTTTTAGATCCTGAAATCTAACCGAAATTACTTGAAATTGAAATTGTTTTTGAAAATGGATGAGAAGCTTTGGCGCTTACAAATTTTATCTCCTAAAATATTAAAATAGTGTCGATTTATGGGGAATTAATAACATTTTTCTTTATATTTTCGTCGACGTCTTTTAAGTACTGTGGACAGCAGATGATACATCAATCCCTATTGAAAATGAACTTTGCGTGGAACCTGAAAATATCAGGATTAGTTTGGAAATTGCTGTAAATCTCTTTCTCATTTAGTAGAGCGTGTATAACATGTTCAATTAATACAAAGCCAGAAGCGCTACACCACTGTGTTAACTATTACAACCTTTCTCCGTTTACAGAAGCTCGCCAGTCTTTTGTTTACGCTTAATGGCTTAAATAAAACGGGTCAAATTCGTAAAACACCCCCCTGAAAAGGTCTGAATTGCTTGTGGAAGCACAAAATGCCGCCTTTAACGCTACACTATAGGATATAAATTAGAATAGCGGATAACGGCCGATTACAGGACAAGGTTGTGCGTATGTGTTAGAACGACTAGTCCTATAATTGCTTTGAACTCCTGTCTTTTCACCTTCTGTTTTCAGTTGGCTTGTAAAGGGTAGGTCATTATAACTACGGGCGGCAACAAGCTTTTGTTATGTTGATTTTCACTAAGTCGTTCCTTTAATTTCCTGCCCGAAACCGGCATAGCTGCGATATTTTGTTTAAGTAGTAATTGAGTCCTTTGAACACGTTTTTTTCACGGAAATGAATTTCAGCCATAGCACCAAATTCCACTTACTTTTGTAATGAAAAAATTTCAAGAGCCTATTCGGCTGAAAAAAAGGTGTTATGGATAAAAAAGAGTAGATTCCTTACTCAAAAGCTGCACTTAAAAATTCAATTACTATGGTCGTCTTAGAAATAAATAGAAAAATTATGTTATTCCTTATATCGTGTGATTTTTGAACATTATGTACTCATACGTATAATTATGTGAATACCTATGTTCTCAATACACCTTAACATAAAAATCTGATTACATCGTTACACAGGTAGTTAGGGCCCGTTTGGTTACGATTGCTAACGTAAATTGTTTTACATGAAATGAAGCAAATTCGGGTGTAACCTTAAAAACACATTACGGCGGCACAAGAATTCTTATAATGGAGCGTTCTCCAGCATTACTCAGTCTTCACACACTTGAGCCGTCTCCGCATTCCGAGATTCGTGTATCAGTTCAATATCTTACAGCAATATCTTATTAAGGCCCATAAAACTCCAATGTTTTAACCGCGAGACCACCTGCTCCCGCCCGCCGGGCTTTGAATGCAAAATTAGTCTTGTTTCTTTTTTACCACTTAGTTGGATCTCACCGATGCGAATAAAATTCAAAGGAAAATTGACGTTTTATGTCCTGCTTTTTATGTGCTTTCAAGGAGAATGAGTCGATTATTCTCTTTAATTTAGTACACCAGCAGGGGACTGTTATAAATTTGCGCAACAAATAAAATTTCTTAAGAAAACGCTGCGTAACATAATATTTGCATCACCAGGATTATTTAAATAGACTTCATCAGTTTGGATATTTTCTCAGTCTTCAACGTAATACTCTTTGAAAACGATTATTATATAAAACATTTGTAGTGTTATTCTTTGCAAAAGTACCGCAAAGCGTAAAGACATTATTTTCAAAATAATTTGCTTTAAATATTCAAAACATTTATTGCCAGAAAAAATCTTCAAATATTATTTTATTATGAATGCGCCAACTACATAAAACTAGCAATACCTTTGTTTACACTTGTACAGGATAAACTCTAAATTTTCGGTATATCAATAGGTATATTTTTAAAGAAATTCTCAATTATACCGATTCATTAATTTTGTCCTTTTTGCCAATTTTGCCAAACAGATAAGTTCCATGCCCTTAAAAAATCAACTACCAAAAACATATAAAACTTAAACTAGTTAAAAAATACTTACGTCTATTTTCTTTGCCATCGTCATCGCGGAACACAATGGGGCGACCCTCAGTCCTCCTCCAGGAGATGATTGGGTCAGGAACACCAGCCGCAGTGCATCTCAGATCCACAGAGCCACCCTCTGGTGCGCTCGCCTCCGATCCGTCATCGTCAGCAATGTCCGGCGGGATTACCACAGAGAGGAAACCCATCTAGAATCAAGGAATTTAGTTCATAACCTCCCTGAAGTGGAGAAGGGACTCTTAAGAACCTTCTTATGACGTAACTACATTGATTAGAACGTAATGTGAATTTTGACGAGAAGAAGAAGACGATATTATATTTCTCTACATTATAGAGATTTTTGGTGCGGATATCTTTTAAAAAAATACATTAAGTTCATAGCAATATAGTAAAGTGGTAGACCCCCCTAACCTGGATTAAGTTTATTTCCGAGGACTTGTACACACTCGTAGTGAACCTGTTGTATCTAGTATGACAACGAGGAAACAATGAACTTTGTTAATCTATCTATACCAAAGTGAATAATTACATATTTATTGATGAACTAATCACGAAATCTTCTTAAAGACAAGTGCGTTACTACTGCACAAACATGTAATCCTTAAGCCACGTGTTCATAAGGCAATATTTGTGTATAAACACTATTTATAAACAATGTTATTCAATGTTGCACATCTCTTTTATATACAGGGCGTCCCACGGGTACCTCACACGGAGGGAAAGTATATTAAATATTGAAGATAGGATATTTTACCGAAAGAAGACATCATTTTATTTTTAATTATAACTAGAACTGCATTCACAGATTTTTTTTTAAAAAATACCTGCTAAAACGGGGAATCAAACTCATGAAATTTCGAAAAAAAAAACACTACATGTTTTAAGATAACCATCGAAAGGGTTAATCATAACAATTATTTTATGCTAAATAACATAGCATTTTAAATGAAAGAAAAGTCATAAAATTACACAATTTATTAAAAATATTCAACAAAAAGTAATAAAAGACGAAATGTATCAAACGTTCAAAATGTGATCCGATTTATTGTATGCAAATTCTCACTCTAGTGTTTTCTCTGCCTGTCGATTTCATTATCTTTGCGTGGTGAATGTTTGTAATAATACGTCTGAGTTATTTTGTAACTCCTGCACACTGCCTTGCTGGTTCTTGTATACTTCATCTGTTACATAACCCCACCAAAAAAGTCCAGTGGGGTAAGATCTGGGGAACTCGCTGGCGATCTTATTTGTCCATAAGAACCAATCCAGGAAGGAAAGTGTTCATTAAGAAACTCGACAGTTCTCCTACTGTCATGAGTCCCAATTTGCTGGAAAATGAGATTTCGTCGATTTGCATCAGAAAGATTATTGATCTCACCTCTTAAAATATTAAGTATTTCTAGATATCTTTCCGTATTTAGATTCCCTTTGTAAAAATGTATTCAGAGAACCCGGTTAACTAAAACGAAGAACACAAAAAAGAACAGCACCCTTAGCACAAACCAATATCGAATTCGAATAGTTTTCGAGTGCGAAATGTCATTGTCAAATGTGTACTGATTTTTAGTTCTCGTTACGTACTTTGTGGTGCTGCTGTATAAGTTTCCATACAAAATTTGACATTGACATTTCACACTCGCAAACTATTCGAATTCGATAATGTTTCGTGCTAGGGGTACAGACGCTTGAAAATGTATGTGTTCTATTTTCGAATTTTTAGCCAATCGCATTGTAACTGAGTTCAAAAAGAAATGCATACGTACTACGGTTTGTATATCACTTTATTCTTTTTATCACGTAATAAGACATTCCTTTCATTTAAAATGCTATGTTAATAAGTAAAAAATAATCTTTATGATAAACCCTTTCGATGGTTAGCATAAAATATGTCGTATTTTTTTTTCGAAATTTCACGAGTTTGATTCCCAGTTGTAGCAGTCGATTTTTAAAAAATCTGTGAATGCAGTTCTAGTTATTATTAAAAATGAAATGATGTCTTCTTTCAGTAAAATATCCTATCTTTAATATTTAATATACTTTCCCTCCGTGTGAGGTAGCCGTGGGACGCCCTGTATATATACATAGTTTAGAAACAGTTTAAAAACAAAGGTGATGAAACATTGTTTCAGATACATGTTGCCGTGTCTCCGCTCTGAATGGATAGCGAGGCGAAACATTTAATTTATAAACAAAAGTTAATAGGTGTGGACGTGTGTTACGGGAGGTTTATAGTTTATTTAATCATGGAAGTAGTGTGGTCCGACAACCAAGTTTATATGACTATAGAGCTTTTTAGGTTATGTTACGTGAGTGGCTTTAAATAAAGATTATAATGATAAAGTAAAAAAAAAGAGGCCGAAATTGCTGCAGAACTACAGATGTCACAAAATGAAGTAGAAATGAAGATGTATACTCTGCGCTCACAATTTTCTAGGGAAAAGAAAAAACTTTCCGAAAAAACTGGAAGCGGTGCTAAGGAAGTTATTAAATGCAAATGGCTGCGGTATTTTTGCAAAATAACATCATAATATCAATACATAACTTCTATTTAAGAGATAATTTCGAACCCACCACCTTTTTTTTGTACTCTCATGAAACTGCCTACATAGTAAACGTAAGCAGTACAGAGCAACACTACCTCCTCGGGTGACATCCTAGCAACAACTGACAACTGTAGACGGCCAAATTTCAGAAACAGTGTTTACGGTAAAATTGTTTATAAACAAGGCGATGAACTTCATAAACAGTTCATCAACAATTGTTGCCTAATGAATACGCGGCCTTATACGAAGCAATAGTTGCTCAGTGTTTTGTTAACATCACTCTAATGACATTTTGTAATTTGATGGACAGAGACAAAACATTTTATACCTCGTTATCAATAAAGAGATAAATGTGACTGTAACACGTGTATACAAAAAAAAACTAATATAATGCTACTGTACTTATTTTAATAAACTTTGTAATAACGACTGTATAATCTTCATCAAAACGTAACACTTGGCTTATTAAAAAAACTGGTGTCAATTAGTGTTTATGAAAAACTTCCTAGAAGTGGGACAAATTTCAAGCTTTGTGCGGGGCAGAATGCAGTAACAGGAGACTACGGAATGTTCCCATTTAATTATTGCAGCGCTAGAGTACGCGCGTGAGTACCCATTAAACTAAACATTTACAAAAGCATTATGGGAAACTAGAATACGTACTTATAATTCAACCTCAATTGGTGGAGTTTAATTAAAATTCACTTTTAATTTATCCAGATATGCTTCGAAATGAAAACAAAGGGGAATCAGTTCATCTTGGCCAATTACACATGAAGTTAGCTCTCAACAAAGTGTCTTGAGTGTGATGAACTTTGATTTTACTCCATGTCTAATCAAAATTGAACATATGAAAAATTGCTGTACTGATTCAAAACAGACGATAAAATGTGTAAAGTTAAAATTGCAATGTCAATCCATCGACATCAGATGCTAGAGAAAAAATATTATTATGCTCTTTATGTGAATGAATATATACGTAACATTATCCGTTCAATAAACTGATATACAGAAAAGGAAAGGTAAAAGAATACATTTTATTTCCGAATTTTTTTCTTTCAATCGGCAGAGCTAACATCAAAATGTATACCGGCAGCTTTTTGTTTTAAGACAATGATCATGAGGTTGTAATAGTTTTCTGGGTAAAATTGTACTACTAGGGCCCAAGAGGTGATACTTTTTTTTGTTTGTAGTAATGGTCTCTTAAAAAAAATTTTTCTGGCGCTTCGCTGGCCGTTGTCGGGGCACGCTCACTCGCGCGTTATGGTCACAACACTAATCTAACCTAACTTAGTAAGTATCACCACTTGGGCCCTGGAAGTACAGTTTAGCCGTTTTCTGGACTACGGCTAATTGAGTACAACGGCTACAGTCGGCTAGGTGTTGGAGTGCATGAATCAGGGAGCGGGTTTTGTTAGACCTTGCCTGGAGTACTGTGTACAAAACTTATAAAGAAGGCGCCATGCACAAAGAAGCAAACAGCATCTCAATTAGTGGGTGAACATGGGAAAGTAAAAACTATAACTAGACTTTGTCAGACACACAAAATTACTACGACAGAACATGAGTTTCCTTTGACGAGGATTTTAACTCACCATATGTCCATCATGGGTCCTGTGTTAGGCCCTATATCTGGATGGGAGGTTTTGTGGCATTACAATGCTATACCAAAGCAAAGTACGTTAAGCCTTTTTTATGTGTAATATAGAAATTCTTCACGATATCCTTCTCCTGTCCAGGCTTCTGGGTAAAAGCCAGAACGCCTTCTAAGGAGGTGACAAACCTAATCATATACCGGATACAACCAAACATCGGTTACCGGTATACAGAATCGAATCGATCGATTTATAGAAGAAATTATAAAACAAACAAGCTGTTAATTATAAAATTAACATAATTCTGCAAAGAGCGAAGCAAATACATTTAATTTAAATTTAGAGACAAATTCCCTAAAAGAAACAATTGAAAATCCTTTATACCCTTTGCTTATCGATCAAAGATCGATAACAATCAATACGGTCAACCGATTCAGACCCACAAACTATGCTACAGATCACTAAGATTATGTCTAAAGACAGATGGGAATCAGCCTAAAGAACGGCCGTCCGTTAGTGTTTTTTTTTAAATTTGTATTAAGTGTAACTTGATAGTTCTGCCCTGTACATTGACCTTTAGTTAAGATTTGGATACCATAAATTACACACCCATATTTCATAGACATTTTCAGCTATAAATTTTCGTTGTTGGGAAGCCCTTCAAAGTTTGCATTTTATGGAAGGCAAAGGACATGCTTTCGCCTTCAGGCTAAAACAGCAGATCGACTCGTCCCTTACACTTTGTATTTGTTCGTGATTTATGTATAAGTAAAATATGATTAAAAGAAACTATAAAAATGCATTAATAATAATATAATTTATTAAAAAAACTGTTGGATGGCTATTTGATTGTATCGACAATTCAATAGCAATCCAACAGTTTTTTAAAAAAAAAATATTATTATTAATGCATTTTTATAGTTGCTTTTAACTACATTTTACTTATCATTCATTTCACTCACATTCATTTTTACAAAAGATCTCAGAAGCTTGATTTAACAAATAAATAGCGGTTTGGCCATAAGATTATAAAAAAATCGAGACAAACAT